CCAGCACCAGCGCCCCCCTTCCCGCGTGCGGGCTTCCCCCCCCCCCCCCCCCCCCCCGACTCGGGCGGCTTGCTCCGGGCCACCACATTCGCGACCTTGCGTGTGCTCTCTTCTCCCGGCAGATGACAAATGAGCACCCCTCCGGGCGGCGTGTCTAAGGGTACTTTATTGTGCAAGTGTTCGAGAGGCCGTCCCTACCTGCCTTCCATCGCCCTTCCTGCCGGGGGGTGGCGCGCGCGAGCGAGAGGCGGAGGGGCGAGTACCGTGCTGAGAAGTGCCGTGTGAACGGGGGTGCTGCCTGCTGTGCAGGTGGAAGCCGGAAGGGGGGGGGGGGACAGGAGCACAGCCTCCCTCTCGGTCTCTCGCGCCTGCGTCCGCCCTTCGGGAGAGACGCAGGCGCCAGGTGCGGCCCCTGTGGACCTTGTCCGCATATGGCACACCCCGGGGAGCCGCCCAATCGCCTCAAGCAGCCCAATCGGTGTCCATGTAGTAGCTGGCATCCAGGGCCGAGCCGAAGGAGCCGCCGCCGGGACCCGGGCCACCGCCAACAACGCCATGTGCCCCGGACCAATAGTTGCCCAGGGCACAATCGGCTGTCGAGGCGCCGGTGATGGTCTCCTCGCCGAGGTCCAGGCCTGCTCCCCCGCCATCGACGCAGCCCGTGCTCCATGGCACATCCTGGTGGTGGAAGGTGCCGGCCGTCGGCCCGGGCCCGGCGGAAAAACGCACGGCCCCCAGGGACGAGCCGGTGCCCAGCAGGGAGGAAGGCGAGCACCCCCCGGCTGCTAGATGCATATGGTGGTGCGGGTGATGATGATGCTGATGATGATGAAGGGGACTGGCGCCGGGGCCGCCGCCGCCTCCATTGGCGCCATCCATCGGGGGCATCATGAGGAGGGAAAACAGGCCGCCCTCGCCACCCGGCCCGTCGGCATGATGGCCGTCATCGCTGGTGGCCTGACAAGAAGAAGACAGGGCGGCAGGCCCGGCCGGCCCCTCCCGGGGGCCGGTCATCCCACCGGCACCTGGCAGCGAACCGGTCGCCAGGAGACCGTGGAGGTGTCCGAAGGAGGGGCTTCCACCGGCCACCAACGGCCAAGCGCCACCAAAGGGCTCCGAGGGATCCGCCAAATCCACGCCCGCGACCATCCCCCCGTGCATGCTGGCCCTTGCACCGCCGCCGGGGGGCGAGGGCATGAGCAATAGCGGCATCTCCCGGGTGCCTGGGGCCGAGGTGGTGGCCGCTGCGGGGGGATCCCCCACTCGCACCATCATGTGGGTCGGTGGAGTGGCGCCGGAGGAGCCCGACGGGGTGTGCACATGGCCGGTGCCAGGGCGGTGCTCCCCGGCAAGGGGCTCCGCATCGCCACCAATGCCCGGCATCATTACTTGCACGGCCGGGCCCTCGCTCCCTCCAGCGAGCGCTGTGG